GCTGCTGTGCACGGTGAACACCCAACAGTGACAAAGCAATTCCACTGACTGTCCCTGCCCTACTTTCTAGCTTCTGATTTGGACAAACCTATGTACAGTTTCTACTATCTTTGTTCCAGCTTGAAATATATATGTGTATATATATATATATATATATATATGCTCTGCCCTCCTCCAACACCTGTTGGCTCCTCCTCCCTCCACCGGTAGCCCTGGTCCTCACCCAGAAGTGGATCCCACAGTCGCTCCCCTTCCTCAGGAGGGTTTCCTGATGCCATCTCAGTTCCTACAGGATGGGGCTTCTCCCTAGCTGTGTGTGCTAAGGATTTGGCCTTTCTGCAATCCAGGACTGTTCCTGCTCCTCCCCCCGACCCAGGACCTTCCCTTCCTCCTTCAAACATTGCAAACACAGATCCCCTCCCTGCAACCTCCCCCCAAAACTGGTCCCAATTCTCAAGTTAACAATAATGAAAATAATAACAAAGTGCATTTCATGCTTACAGTGGGTGAGCCACCATGTCAAGTACATTGCTGGCGTTACTCAATTCTCACAAAACTATGAAGGGGTAGTATTTTTACCCCTTTTTACAAATGGAGAAACTGTGGCACAGAGAGGATAAAGCTTTGAAGGGCCAGAGCCAGGATCTGACCCACAGAACCAGGAAGCTCCAGAGTGTGAGCTCTGCCCAGACCATAAGGCTTCCCAGCTCCAAAAAATCCAAAGGGAGCTGGAGAGGGTGTGATTAAATAACCTCCGAAAAGTGCCGTATCTTCGGTTTGCATGAATCCTGAAGTGAACACTGAGAAGTGTAGTTCGTGCACGAGCCCAGGAACCCAGCCCTTCTCCGCCTGGCCACATCACCGCCCATCTCTCACCTCTACACTCCTGGGCACCAAGGCCAGGGTTCCAGTCTGGCAGTGGCTGCACAGCCCGCCAGCACAGGCCATTTGCACATCCTGGCCTGATCTTCCCTTCTTTCCCCACTTAGTTCCCACATATCCCTTCAGCCTCCTTTCATTTGTCTCCTCCCCAGGAAAGCCAACCCCAGCGCCCTGACCATGACAGAGCCGCATTCCATAAGCTCACAGTTCCACGTACCACTCAATAGTCACACACAGGACAGTGTGATGTAATACTTATTTGGTGATTGTTGGATCACAATCTTTCTCCCCCCAACTAGGCTGTGGGGTTTATGAGCACAGAATGGTGAATCCCTAGTGGCCAGCTCTGCATCCTGGCACCTAAGTGAATGAATGAATGAATGAATGAGTGAATAAATCAAGGAATGGCCACTCATTTGTCTTTTGCACAGGATCCCCCAGGCTGTCAGCTGCCTTTGGTGTCATCGGTTCCCTGGAAACTTCACAGAAGGTGCAGGCAGCTTCCCAGCCCTTCCTATCCTCTGTAGCCCTCTCATTCTTTTGCCCATGGCTGGTCTGATTGACAGACTTGACTCTCAGTGCTGTCCTGGACATGGTGATGTGGGTCATGGGCACGGTCATATGCCCTAAAGAAGCCAAACCAGAGACCACTATAAGAGTTCAGATGACTATTTTCCGCTTCTCCTGGCTGAATTCAGCTCAGATGCACTGAGCAAGAAGAAACACCTATCACACAGCTTCATTTCATTTCCCTAATGCCAGAGAAATGCATTCAATGCACCTACTATGTGGGAGGCTTTTGAGGTTCTCTGGAGCCCCAGTGGCAGAACGGGTTGTCTCAGTCTTCAGTGAGGAGTATAGAATACGGTAGCAGTGCTCCTGTCACTTTGGATTCATGTTATGATCACAGATCACAGTTTCTAGGATTCTAAACCAGCTGATAGCTGCAAAATGCCTAAGTGGCGGCCACACAGTGTGTTTGTCATGAGCACTTCTCTAAATTGATGCACAATCCTGAAACTCTGTCTAAGCAGGATCTAATTGAAAGTTACGGCTCTCCTTTCTAGGAAAAAGGGAACCATATACACCTAAGTAATTTTGCACACAGTTTCAAAGCCTTCACAGGCCTCCAGAGGCCCATCTGCTAAGGGAAAAGGAGGACCAGGGCCTCAGGCTATCTCCTCTTCCAGCAGATATTAATTTGTAAGTTATTTTTTAAGTGTTTAAACGTTAAGAGAGTTATATGTCTAGGCCAAAGTTCACTCCTCGTTAAAGTTAACCTCTGCTCACTTCCAAATGTCCTTCCATCCTCCCGGCTTGCACCAATGACAGTCACATCAGACCTCAGTCACCAGACTGGACTCTGGAGTGGGGACCACTGACGTAGTCTCTCAGAGCATGCTAGTTGGTGGCAAAGCTGAGCCCACAGAGGGACACAGTTTCTACACAAGGATCCGTAAAGATCTCTAAGATATAGTTTGTTGAAAGTTTTTGGTTTGATGTGCTTGATGGCTTTGACTGGAATTGGAGCTGTGGAGGTTGTTGGTTTCAGCTGGCCTAAGCTCATCTCACACAGGCGCATGAGATTCTTCCTGTGCTCGCCAAGAACGGCAAGGTGTTGGCAGCCCAGTCCCAGTTTTGTTTGCACAGCTGCATGACTTCCAGCTCACTACAGGCATTAAGAAAAACGGGTGACAGAAGCTCTGTCTAAGCACTAAGGGTGAAGGAGGTGGGGAAAGGTCATTTGCCTTTTAAAAACACTTTTTATCTTTAAGGCACTGTTCCTTGAAGATCTTCGTAAATCGTTTTACGATGCTTCTGGACGGCATCTTTCTTTTTTAGTGTGAGGAATTATATATAACATAAACTTCACCAGTTAAACCATGTTTAAGTGTGCACTTTGGGGCATTAAGTACATTCACAGTATTCTACAGCCATCACCACCACCCATCTCCAGAACTTTCTCAGCATTCCAAACTGAAACTCTGTACACATTAACAATAACTCCCCAATCTGCCTCCCCCAGGCACCATTCTACTTTCTGTCTCTCTGAATCTTACACTCTAGGGACCTCATCGAAATGGAAGTACACAAACTGTAGCCTTTGGGGTCTGGCTTATTTCACTTAGCACAAGTTCATCCATGTCAAAACATCTGTCAAAATGTCATTACCTTTGAAGTGTGGATAATGTTCAGTTGTATGTATATACTGGTCTTGTTTACCTATTTATCTGTTGATACATATTTGGGTTGTTTCCATCCTTTTGCTATTGGGGATATACTGCTATAAATATTGGTGTGCAGGTATCTGAGTCCCTGTTTTCACTTCTTTCAGGTATATATTTAGAAGCAGTATTGCTGGATCATATGTTAATTCTGTTTCTAATTTCTCTATATCCTCAACAATGGACTGAAGCATTTTTAAGCAAGAGATTTTTACACATACATAATCTTTTCAGCATGATGTTCTCAATAGTTTTATCAAAACTAACAATACTCTCAGTAGTTTTAAAAAAATAGTTTTCAGTGTTCAGGATTTGAGTCCAAATAAAATGTCTCCAAGAAAAGCCTATCTGATAATTCATGACAGGAGACGGGAAATATACTAATAAATGACACTTTATTTTGAAAAGAGTTCAGGTTCCATTAAGAGTTAAGAACACATATATCTTCTCATCATGAGCATCACATTCAGATAAACATAATCCAGCCCTCACATTTAGATAAATTTAATCTGGTTTTTAAATAAATCAACTTTGATTCAACATGGAATGTCAAAAAGGGTGATGCACCACTTTTATAGAACAATTTCAAATAAAACCTTGCTGTAACACTACTGCGATCTTACTTTATCACTATCAAGGATCCTATGTAAGTGTTTAAAACAGCACATGAAGTATTTAGAGTGAGCTAGAAGTCTAAGTAGACATAAAAACAACATATGTGGACAAGAGCAGCTAGGATTCCGTGTTCCACGCAAGTTAGTTAGCATTCACTGCTGGAAAGACTTCTTCAGTTGGGTGTCATAACAGCTTTAGTGCTTGACCAAGTGACGAAACCAGATATGATTATCATAAATTTTATATTCAGTTCCCTTTAGAAATGGCACACAATCAGGTTCAAAGGTGGAAATTATGCCAAGCTTCTTTAAGGAACTTTTGGAAATCAATAAGGAAAAAAAAAACACCAACAACCCAATACAGATTAGCAAAGAACACAAATAGACAATTCACACATAAGAGTACAAATAGTAGAGATTTCACTGACAAATGTAATAGTATAAAAACAATGACAGACCAATATCTAGATCAGTTGGCCCAAAGGTAAACATAATGTTTGGGGCAGCACAAGTATGCATGGAAAATGCAATCTCAGGGTCAGTTAGGAAAAAAAAAAATCTATCCATGGAACTGTCCTTACCTGTTAGCTGTCCTGAAGAATTAAAAGGGAGTGAACAATTTTCACGTAAGGGCTTTCACTGGAGTACATTTATATTACTAAAAATTGAGAAAACAACCTACTTACCCATAAGGAGAAGACTGAATAATTTACAATATACCTATGCATTGGTTCATTATGCAGTCATTGAAGTAACGTTTTAAATTATTTAATGGAACTAGTGGTAATTATTTCACAATGTATACATTTCTAAAGTTGTACACTATAAATAGAATATTGTCAGTTAAACTTGAAAAAAGCTGGAAAACGTTGGGGAAATGCTCACTATATCATAATGAGTAAATTAGATTACACTATTCTCATAAGAAATGATCTGATTTAAAAAATAAATCTATAAAACTAGACCCGAGGGAACCGTACCGAACTCTACACTGCACTGGGACCCGTGGAGACGCTCGCGACTGCCACGTCCCACCCACCCGGCCCCGGCCCCGCCCACCGCTACACCGCCCAGCCACTCACCCGGCGCCACCCGAGTCCGCCCAGCAGGCTGGGCCACGCCCCTCACGGACTCCCTGGAGCGTCGCGGAGGCGAGGGCCAGGCGGCTCACCGCCCATTGGCTGTCGGGCCATCGGCCCCGCCCCACCCCTCCGAGACCTCTCCTTTTCAGGGCTCCTCGGAGGGCAGGAGGCGGAACTGGGGCCCTGGGTCACGTGGGGCGCGCCGCCGCCGGTGTCCGCTGTCAGACGGTCTTCCACTTCGACCTCCAGTTCGTCCTCGGTGGTCGCAGGATGATGATGTTGATGCCATCCGTGAGACCCGGGAAGTCCCGCTAAGGTGCGGGAGCTCTGGGTTCAGAGGGCCGCTGCGGGCGAGGGCTCCCCCCGGGTACCAGCGAGGGGAGAGTAGGCCGGTCAGGGGTCGAGGCGGCTGCGGCCAGAGCCCCGCCGTGTGTGGGATCTTGGGGAGGAACGACGGCGCCACCTAGTGGGTGATTTTCCTAACGTTTGGATTCCCAGGCTCCAAAAGACAAAGTAGATGAAATGAAGCATATTTACACAGCTTGGGGGTCAGTCAAGAGTTTGAATTTTAGCATCCGCCTTAAACTTGGGCAGATCATTAGAACTTTATTTCTCACAAGGTTAATTGGTGATTTTTAAATTTTTTAAATGTCTATTTTTTTGTGAGACCCCAGTATGTTTCAGTGAAATATCTACCTGGAGACTTCGTTGCTCCAGGTCAGACTCAGGTTGGCTGTTCTGTGGGGAGAAGTGAGGCCTCTCATCGTGGATGCCTGCAACTTGAATGCCCTTTACATCTACCTACGAAAACATACTCCTAATTCTTAAATGAGATTTTAATTGAAAAAGCAAAACATGCACACTATAAAAATGGAGAGTCTGAGAGAATATACAACACCAAATGCCTTGTTCCCACATTAAAACCCTAGAATCCAACCCCTAAGGACAGCCATCGTTAACTTATTGCCAATCCTTCCAGAAAGTCCATGCATACAGAGCAAGCGTAAAAGGAATCTCTTTTTTTAAACACGAAAATCAATTTTCTCATCTGTAAAACGAGGTTGGAAGTAGTGCAAAACACCTTGAATAGTTCTTGGAATGTTGATTGCACTGCCTGTGATAACTATTGTTAATATTCTACAAAGATTTAAAATTTTTCTGACTACCATGCATCCCTAAGATTTCATGTCATTCATATCATGTACAGGTCTGCCTCTTGTTTTCAAGGCTGCAAAATAATCCATTCTGTGGGAATATTATAATTTACTTAATCTCTTAGTGTTGGACATTTGAGATGCTTTCACTATTATCACAGAGACTGCTATGACGAATTATCTTGTATGAAGATGTGATGTGTGTGTATGGCTATCTGCAAAATACTCATACAGTTGACCCTTGAAAAACAGGGGGTTAGGGACAGTAGCCCCTCTGTAGTCAAAAACCCACATGCAACTTTTGACTCCCCCCAAAGCTAACTGTTGTTAGCTGATAGCCTACTGTTGTTCAGAAGCCTTACTGATAACATAGTTGATTAACACATATATTTATATGTATTATATACTATATTCTTTCAAAAGAGTAAGCTAGGGGAAATAATTTACGAAAATCATAAGAGAATGCATTTACAGTCCTGTAATGTAAAAACTCCGTGTATAAGTGGACCCACGTGATTCAAACCCTTGTTGTTAACTGTACGTGGAAATGCAACTGCAAGGATAGGGGAGGTGGGTTTTAAATGTCACTTTCCCTCAGAAGAGCCTGCACCAGTCAGCATCCCCCAAAACTGAGCAGGAATGCTCCTTTCCCTAGACCCTAGCCAACATGGAGTATAGCACAATGTTTTGGTCCATTATCACTCTGATGAATGAAAGGTAGTAGTGATTCATGTCGGTTGGACAAATTAATTGAAAGTTGCTGAATTAAAAAAAAAGTTGCTGAACGGCCCATCACACTGTCTTACATGTTAATAAAGATTAATTGAGGGGTACCTGGGTGGCTCTGTCGGTTACGTGTCTGACTCTTGGTTTTGGCTCAGGTCACGATCTCATTGGTTTTGAGCATGAGCCCACCCTCTGCCCCTCCCTCCACTTGAGCTCTGTCTCTCTCTAAAATAAGTCTTTAAAAAAATAAAATAAAAAGGGTTAATTGACTTCCAAAAGACCTGGAGGTAGTGCACATGGGCTTTGTGGTTGGATTAGTTCTATGGTGCATCAAAGCCACCGTGCACCCAATTTCCTTTTTCCCTCTGCTCTTCAGTTATTTGCTTGGCCCAGGTCCCTGAACCTGCTACTCTTGCAGTGGCAGCAGGATTACTCTGACCGCCAGAGACCCATTAGGAAGTTTACCCAGAGATGAGCAGGGGTCCAATCCCTTAAAAATATGTTACAAGGGGGATTCCAGGGAAACAGCTACAACATCCACTACAGCAACATGTAATTTAAAAATGAGATTAGGGGCACCTTGGCAGTGCAGTCAGTTAAGGGTCCAACTCTTGGCTTCAGCTCAGGTCATGATCTCAGGGTTGTGAGATTGAGCCCCGCATCGGGCTCCGAGCTCAGCATGGAGTCTGCTTGAGGTTCTCTCGCCTTCTCCCTCTACCCCTCCCACTCGTGCTCACTCACTCCCTATCTCTAAACTAAATAAATAAATCTTTAAAAAAACCTTAAAAATAAAAAAAATGAGGTTGGAGTGCTTTGATCTTAATATTCATCTATATATCTATGATGTGCATGCATGAATCTTTTTACAAGTTTTCCATTTTGCTAAGCCTTTTACTGATTTGTACAAATTATGGTAAAGGAATTGGTAAATGGTAAAGAAATTATCTTTAAATTGTTAAGAAAATATCATTGTCCTGTGACAAATATTTTCCCCCAATTTATTGGCATCATTTAGGCTCTGACAGTGGCACCTCCTTAAATTTTGCACCTTAGGCACCTCATCTTACCCAGACCCAGCCTTCTGTCTATAGGACAGAGGAACTTCCTACAGTTTTTTGTTTGCTTTTTACAAAGGAGACATGGTGCCTGAATTAGGCCAGGTTGTGGAGGAGGCAGGGCTGGTCAACCAATGCAGCATCCAATCTCTGATCTTACCCAAGATGCCAGAGCTACATGCTCTGAAAAGCAGCTCCTACCAGACGGCTCTTCCCAGTCTGAGAGAATCAACATATCTTTAAGTGATTATTGGGGGAATTTAGGATTCTGTAGTCCCGTTGCCCTGTCAAGTCTCAGCGGCAGGGTCAGACTCCTAAAGGAAGCCCTTCCCATTCTGCTCCACACCCCTCTCCCCGTGCTTTAGGAGTGGGCCTAGATTGTATTGATCAGTGGCCTCAGTTCCTCACCCCACATATGACCCATGCATTTCTACTTTTTCTCTAAGAGGTGGTGTCTATTTCCAAATCTGTTGACCTTGAACTCGGCCGTATGACTTGATGGAGCCAATGGAGAGTGCAGAAGTTACAATGTGCCAGTTCCAAGCCTTGGCTTCAAGGGGCCAAGCCTGCCCCTGCTTGCACTCTTGCACCTCTGCCATCACCATGAGATCACCCCTGGGAAAGCCCACTGATCCCAGCAGGAAGATGAGGGCATGTGGATCAGAGACTTGCCAGCTAAGGTGAAACAGCTCAGCCCAGGCTAGAAGAGCACCCCTGCACACACCCTCATAACTTGCAAACTCCAATAAGATCAGCTAAGCCTCAGCCTTGTGTCACCTGAATGAAGTAAAAGCTTCTGCTGTGTGCTGCTGGGGTTGGGGGAATGTTTGTTACCCAGCATTATTGAAACCATAAGTAACTCACACAGAACCCTACAGAAATCTGTGCGGTCTTCTTCCTACTGTATTTACATAGTGATCCACTACTTCAGTCAATAAACTGCTAGCACACAGAGATCTCTCTTTGGGGACATACCTATTTCCAAAAACTAGCACAATGCACAGACACTGTCTTAGCCAAATTCACAAACACTTATTCTAACCTGTGTTAGAATCTTAATAGTTTTTATAAACTTATATTTTACCTTAGTAAAGACAAAGGATGTTTTAAAATATTGCTCTGCTGCTTTGTTGAAAAAGTGCTGAAAACATTGTTTACCCTTAACAGTAGGGGTAAAAATACTTTGCCTGGTCGTCCTTAATTTCAGAAATGATGGGGACAAGTTAAAGATGACAACCTGGACTCATATATGCAGTCCTCTGGTATTCTGCAGGACCCCCAAAGACCCCTCTCTGGCTGTTTTTGCTCCCTACCCTGGGATTGGGAGAGGTTTCTGCTCCTGAAAGAACTGCTCGGCAGGAGACTCTTAAGGATCCTGTGATCCTGCAGGCTGGATTTTGGGGACAAAACGCTGGTCACCAGTGGGCTCCCTGGACCGTACCTGACACTCCAAGGCAGATCTCCCACGGGAATTCCCGTCCACAAAACCTTAAAAGTCCATTGTGGGCTTTTAAGACACCCGAGGCCAAATTCTGTCCGTGCCTGGCCCTCTGCCTGGCCTGTTCTTTCCTCCAGCGGGGGTGGGGGGAATCCCTGGTTGGAAGAGGAGGAGGAGGAGAGCAGCCCTGAGGGCTTTTTGCTGCCTGGGGCAGCTGAGAACAGTCCAGGCCCCGCCCCCCGCCCCCCGCTGTGTGGGCCAGCAGCTTGCAGTCAGGTGGGCACTGTCCCATCACCACTGGCTGGCTTGGAGGAAGGATGGGGCAGCCCGCAGCCAGGGTCTCTGTGCTCCACCTTGGGCTCTGAGCACCTCGTGGGCATGGCCCGGGGGCACCCTGGTGTCCAACGGGTAGGATTCCCGCTCCCACGTCGCCCACTGTAACTATCACGTGCCTGCCACGTGAACAAAAACACTCGACAAGTCCTTGGTCTGCGAAATCACGGCGACCACGGCACTGACAAATAAGAACATTAAATATATAAAGGCCTCCAGCGGGGGTGATGCCCGCCAAGTAGTGGAGTTGGGGGCAGGTCGATCTGAGGCTTGTGGATCAAAACACGACTCAGGAAGGTGAGCAAAAACTCCTTTTTTTTTGGAGGTTGGGGGGGTGCGGGTGCAACCTGGGGACCCCTGGGAAAGATCTCCAGGCAGGAGAAACAGCGTTTGCCCGGCACCAGAGGGAGGGTGCAGGAATGACATGGCGTGGACCGCTGGGACTGCCCTTGCCACCGCCCCCCCCAACCTCCACCCCATGCCAAGGGTCCAGCTGATGGTCCAGAGAACCACTGCTCTCGAAGTGCTCTAGAGTGCATGTGGAAATAGGGATCAGTCTTAGAAGGCTCATGCTGCTTCCGAGGGTTGCAGCTCCTGATGTCCAAAAGTGGGAGCACCTCAGTGTCCAAGATTACGGCCTTTTCGTTATATTGCGAGAAATGCCATGAGCTGGTGCGCTCAACCACCACCAAGCTTGTTGATGTTTATTACACCAGCATGGATGAAAAGAGGGACCAGGTGGCCATAAGTGGCAGATGCCACGCTGACATGGGACAGGAGTCCCATCTCTAGACAGAAGTCCCTGGGCGAGTTTTTCAGCTCTGTGCCTTCCTGTTCATTCCATGTCAGCACAGTCCACTGCCAGCCCATGAAGCCCCCAGAAACAGATGGCCAGATGAGTGTCCTCATTGTGATCTATGGGGCAGTGTAGTTTGAGGGCTGCCCACAATGCAACTCCCACCAGACCTTTGTTTTGAAACCACTCACTTGGTCACCACACACAGATAGGTTTCACAGGGCTGCTAGAAGTGGAGCCCCACAGGGGCTCGCCCTCCGCATGGTCTGTAATATGGAGGCCCCCCCTTGCCTTGTGGTAGACAGGGCTGCTGCAGCCCTGTGCTCTACTGAGGTTCACACCTTGAATATGAGCAGCCGATCTGCTGAGTAATTTGCAGTTTGCTATAATTCCCTTTTACCAAGCTATTTTTTCCCTTGCCCTATAAAAGGACCTAGTTATGAAATCCTGAAATACAAAAATGCAATGGAAATGTTGCCAAGTTAGTGCGGCTGGGATTGGAGGTGGGGGGGTTGGAGGAGTGTTGGGGGAAGGTTCAGCTATGGCAGCTGGCCGCCACATGCACAGCAGTTCACACATATGTGTGGCATTCCTTAGTGAAATAGCTCATCTTCAGGCTAGAGCAGAAGATTCAGGCACATACTCTAGCCTTTCCACTCCCACGTGATCCGGTCAGGAGAAAGAACATTCTGGAATTGGATCGCCTTTATACACTTTGCACTAGTCACTGAAAATAAGCCTACTGATCACCTGACTCATCTCCCTCTCCCAGCTGGGAGGTGACAACTGAACAGTAATGGTAAAGCCCCAAGCAGGACGGCAGCAGAGCACAGGCAGGGAGCCGAGGTCTTTCCCACTTTGCCTCCATGGAACCTTGATGGACAGGAGAAATTCTCTCCTTTGGAGATGGAAGGGGGGTTTCTGCATTACCTGTCCTGTGCCCAACAAGGACTGTGGAACCCTGTCTGGTTCTGAGACATATTCCTGTTAAGGAGCTCCCTGTCCCCTCTGGTCACTCAGGCTCCAGTGGTGGTAACACTCTTTCCTCATTTCTGGGTTTCCCAGCTACCTGGGAATGTCTCTAGACCAGCAATTCTGCTTCCACTGTACCATCCACTACAGATAGAACCAAGCACATGCAGCTATTTGGATTTAAATGAATTAAAATAAAATAAAAACCCAGTTTCTCAGTTATAGGAGTCACATTACAAGTGCTCAGGAGTCCCGGGTGGCTGGTGAGACAGGTCTGCCCATGAGGGTTCTGCTGAAAAGCCTGATGACCTTCTGTTCTCGGCACCACTGGCCACAGCTCCCACCACTCCCCTCCTTCCCTATTTCCAGAGACCACAGTGCAGTTTAGAGTTTACTGGTCTGCGGCGTACATTAGGCTAAGAGCAAGGTGACCAACTAGTCCTAGTTTTTCAAGGACTTTATTTATCTTTCTTTTTTTTAAGATTTTATTTATTTGACAGAGAGAGACAGCGAGAGAGGGAACACCAGCAGGGGGAGTGGGAGAGGGAGAAGCAGGTTTCCCGCTGAGCAGGGAGCCCAATGTGGGGCTTGATCCCAGGACCCCGAGATCATGACCTGAGCCGAGGGCAGATGCTTAACGACTGAGCCACCCAGGTGCCCGTCCAGGACTTTATTTATCTTAGCACTGAAAGCCCACCTCCAGGAACCCCCTCCTGGGCAAACTGGGGTGATAGGTCTACCTGGCTAAGACCCACAGAGCAAATAATGTCTGATGGGGCTGTTTGTGGGATGGGGCCAGAGGGCTGCTCATGATGCCATGCACGGTCCCTTCAGTGGGGACCCTTTCCCCATTATCCTGATGACACTGTATGCTCACTCTTAGATGAAACAGTCCGCATTCACCTCAATTCCACCTCCCCCCCCAAAGCCTCAAATGTGGGTGGAAGGCTCTGTGCCTTGTCCCTTCCCTCAGCTGGGTCAGCCACCATCTTGGAGGAGGCAGAGGTACCCCTCTGGCCACCTGCACCTACCTCTGTTGCTCCTGGGTTTCTCAAGCATGAGCCTTTGGAGGTGAATGTTCTGGTAAGAGGAGTTTGTGTTCTCTGAACTTGTGATTTTTTCCTCTCCGAGGGTACTTGGGTAGGTTTTCTGAGGCCCCCCACATCGCTGAGGTGTTCTGGCCCTGGAGAACAGACCTCTTATTCTGGGGGCTCTTCCTCCCCCTAGCAACTCTGAGGAACCCTAAGGGCCACCTCCACATTCCTGTCGGCCTTTCCCAGATGCCCTCCAGCCTGCGCTCCCTGCTCAAGCCCATGTCTCAGCCTGGAAAACTGACGCAGGCTTGCTCCTGTGTACAGGCTCACCCCAGGGCAGCAGCCCCTGCCTCTCCTCCTACCCTGTCCCCTCAGTCCTGCTGGCTCTCCATCCAGTCCCCAGGGTTCAGACCCCTTTGCTCCATGTCAGAGGGAAGTAAGACCCTTTCCAACATGGCAGCAATGCCCTGCCTAACCCAGCCATCCCAGGTGGATGCCACAGCACCGGCCTCTAGGTCCCTTCAGGCTGTGTCCAGTGGGGTCTCATAGACCCCAGACTATCCATGTCAAGCTAGGCAAACCCCCTGTTGAAGCCCCTTCTCTCTGGGCTAGAGGCAAGGGAGGTGGCACCTCACCACACTTCCCTGCTGAGGGGCCATGGAGCTGGGGTGGGGAGACAGCTTTCTCTCAGAGGTTTTCTCTCAGGAAACCTCTCCCCAAAATGCTCACCTCCTCCCCCCACTCCCTTCACCCTCTCTGTGCCATCTTATGAAGAAATCAACACTTGCACCCTTGATGGCCCATTTTGGCAAGCACCGGGGTCTGGGGTTTCCTGGCTGTTGCCAGTCTTGACTGGATGGGAGATGGTACCTCCTGCCATCACCGAGGTGGTTGCTATACAACAGGGAGGGGGATGGAAATGGTTAGTTTATGCATCTTCCTCCCTCCCTCCCTCCCACCACCCTTTCATACATATTTTTGTGATTTGCCTGTTCTTTTCTTGTGCTCTTGGTTTTTTTCTATTTTTTCCCTTACTGATTTGAAGGTTCTTTATATAGTAAAGAAATACTATGCCTGTGCTTTGTTGTACATACTTGCCTCCAGTTTGTTACTGATGAGTCCATTTGGCTGCGTGTAAAAAGGCCCCCAAACAACAGTGGCTTCAAGAGGATTGAAGTACATTTCTTGTTTCCCCTGAGACCCAAGGGAGGTCATCCAGTGCTGGTGAGGGACTCCATGAGGTTGACAGGGACCCCAGGGCCTGCTTTCCATTCCTCCACCCCTTGCATGTGGCCAAATAAGCCTCAGGGCCCAACAGAGCCTCTATCTAGGACATCAACTCTCATACCTGCTCTCTGAATGGCAGGGTAGAGGTAGATTG